TATATATATAATCTTTTCAGTTTGCTCAAATTACATCAATTCATATCGAACCATCAATAACAGATGGAGAGAAAATATATATGGTAAGCCAGGATATTATGTTTTATTTTCCCTAACTTCCACAACAGAAAATGTGCAAAGGAAGATCTACAAACAAGGAGCAAAACAGGAATTTGTTTTAAATTTGTGCTCATTGTCCATGAGCAATGGAAAGAGCGGGAGCTGGACTTACAAAAAAGCTAAAAGGGACTTAATATGTCTGTCTTATGTCATCTAAAACTTAAATTTGTCAGCAAGTGTCTATTAAGCACCACTGGATGAACAACACACTCTAACACTCACATTGCTGAAATGCTAAAGTGTTGAACATACTGTATATATATTACGTTTTTAAATTCATCAAAACGTTACTTTTGTAAATGTTGCTTACACTTCAAATTGGATGAGTAAAACCTTTTTATAATTATATACCGTAAGTTGTCAAATCTGTAATGACCATCCATGATCTGCTCAATTAAAGTCCTAGTATGTTTTTTGTTTGTTTGTTTGTTTGTTTTCTCTTTTAGATATAGTTATTGCTTTAAAAAATATCATCCATTGTAACTTGTGACCATAAAGCCAAGGTTCGTACCAAACCATGATTTACTGTATATGCACTGTTACACCCCCTACTGTACTATAACATATTACCTCTAAAGATTTTTTATTACTTTAATCAAAAATAAAGCAATTGTTTATTGGCTATTTTAGATATAGTGTTAAATAACATGAAATTAAAATCTTGTCCAGTCATTCTATAATTGTTTAGTCTTGTCTCAGTGTCCCCTTTAGCCTGGATTGAAGGTGAGGAAGCCATGCTAGCTTACATAGTTACTGCAATTAACTGAAATGTCAGACTCTTCTAATTCAGGCTGTTTTCTCTGTCTGTTGTGGAAAGGCCTGCTTAATGGATCATTGGTTAGCAATTCCACATGGAAATTGACATCCATTTATTCTCATTTTCACAGCAGAGTTCTTCATTCCTGTCTTTCGTCTCCGTTTGTGTCCAGTCTTTTTGTCTCCCAGTCATAGACACTCTTGGTTTTGACAAGAAAGTAAATATCACTAAACACGGCTTGTTAAAATAATAAAAAAATAAAATAAACACTTCCACTGAGCAAGATGCAAATGCACACATGTGGCTTTCTTTCAACATGATATAAAGACAAAAAGAGATGTTTAATTCAGTTTAAATCAGGATGCAATGCACAGACGGTTTCCCAGGAGAGCACATTTACCCACCCAACCAGCGCAGATTTCCATTGAACACTTTTCTCTTGAAATTATGTCTTTATCCTGAATATAACACATCCATGTCACAGATCATTTCATGAATTCTGTCTTTTTTGTTGGCAAGTTGAAAAATGTGACTCACATTTAAAAATGTAGAGTAAGAAGAAAATACATTATTATTATTATTATTATTATTATTATTATTATTATTATTATTATTATTTAGAGCTAAAAAGTTTAACAAAATGTACAGAAGCTACAGAATTTCTTTTTTCATGCAGTTACATCCTGTCTCAGGATTCATGAAGCACGCAAACTTAAAACCAGTCTGCTGCACTGCCGCCTTTACCCCTATGATCCACTTGCTCATTCTACCTTTACTAATAAATGCATTTGTTTCCCTACGACTTCAAATACTTTCACTGTTGCATTTTGCAAAATTGGTCTTAAAACCTTTTGAGTAAAGAAGTTACTTTCTTTTAAATTATGCCTATTAGAGGCTTTATAAGGTTCATTAAAGATAACATTTTTCTAAGCAAAATTCACCATGAAAAGCATGCATCATTAAATATGGAAATTCAGAATTATATTAGCTGTATGCACCAAGCTTGTGCCAATTAAATTAGAGAAAGATATCATTTATATTATTAAGGTAGAGCTCATATTAGATTAAATATAATGTGATTTTGTCATGGTTTGATTTATTGCTTATAGAGCATTGTTCATAGACCCATGTTATATTGTATTTTAATAGAGTGATTGTATATATTAAAATGTAAAATGCTGTAATTGCAACCCAATAATGCAAAATCAGACTAGTGTGAGGATCAAACAATCCATATATTTTGTGTCTTTTTATTTATGTATTTATTTATTATTTTCCTTTGAAGCAAAATCTGACTCCAAATGCAGACGTTACCAACAACTGCGCCTAGACATAAGCACTGCTGGCAAGGATTATGTTGTTCACTTAAACTTTGGTAAAATCATTAATGTATTCTGAAACACTTAAGTAATGTGATTTCAAAGAATAAAATAAATAAGTCTGTGTGGAGGCTGTGATATCCTGCAGAATGTTGCAGCTTTGATCGTTGATCAAAGATTTCAGCACAAGGCAACACACAAACCTGAACCGTTTTTTATTCTTCTTAAGAGAATATTCAAGAAAGACATGTGCTCTGGAAGTTGATTTAAAAAAAATGAGCATGATGGTACATAAATGCTTTAAATATATACTGTATGCATTAAAATATAATTTAATGATATAAAATATCAACTAATTTTATTCCAGTAATACTACTAGTAATACTACTAATAGGATAAAATGTGAGCTTATGATATTCATCACAAGCATGCTTCACTACACACACATTCCTTTTCTTTCTTTCTTTTATGCATATTTGCCTACAACACATCATTGGTGATTATAATAAATAATTAGCTTTTTATTTATCATTTCACGAAAAGTTATTTTTACCACAAAGAAAAAAAATTAAATAATTAAATTTGTGAGCAAATTAACACTGTCAGAG